CTCCTGCAATTATTATAAGCAATTATTCTGCCTCAACGTCCCGAATAGCTGAGACTATAGGCACCCACCATCACGCCTGGCTAATTTTTGTATTTTTAGTGGAGGTGGGTTTTCACCATGTTGGCCAGTGGTCTCGAACTCCTGGCCTCAAATGACCACCCTCCTCGGCCTCCCAAAGTGCTGGGATTACAAGCGTGAGCCACTGTGCCCAGGCAACTCTTCAGATCTTAATGGTCATTTCCTTTAAGTGCCTGACCTCTTGTAGTAACTTGACTGACTCCAGCAATAAATCCTTTTGCAATGTAACCTACGTAACATCTGAGTTTCCCTTTGATAAAACTCATCATATATTTGTTCCTCCGACAGTTCAGAGGGCAAGGGCCTGTGCCCACCTTCCTCACCACTATCCTCTCACCACGTAACACAGAACCCACCACCCACCATGCCTCCTGCCTGACAAATTCCTAACCATCCTTCAAATCTCACTCACCTATTACTTTCTAGGGGGCAGTTTCCCTGAGCACCAAGACAACGGGACACATTCCTTTACACACCCTGCTGAACATCTCTTTTTTGAGGGGCAGGTAGAGATGAGTGTCTCACTGTGCTGCCCAGGCTGACCTCAAACTCCTGGCCTCAAGCGATCCTCCTGCCTCGGCCTTCCAAAGTGCTGGGATTACAGGCGTGAGCCACCGTACCTGGCCACAACTGGTTTAGATTTTCTATCTTCTTTGCCCCAGCACCTAAAACAATGCTTGTCACAAGACTCCTCTCAGGTCAGCCCACAAGAGCTCCTATGAAAATCTCTAAACTGTAGGCTGGACACAGTGGTTCCCGCTTGTAATCCCTGCACTTTGGGAGGCCGAGGTAGGTGGATCACCTGAGGTCAGGAATTTGAGACCAGCCTAACCAACAAGGTGAAGCCCCCTCTCTACTAAAAATACAAAAATTAGCCAGGCATGGTGGCAAGTGCCTGTAATACCAGCTACTTGGGAGGCTGGGACAGGAGAATTGCTTGAATCTGGGAGGCGGAGGATGCAGTGAGCTGAGATCACGTCACTGTACTCCAGCCTGGGTGACAGACGAAGACTGTCTCAAAAAAAAAAAAAAAAAGTAAATCTCTAAAATTGCATGCAAAATTCTATGTGCATTCAGGAGATAGGCTGTGACTTCTGTCAGATTTTCCAAGTGGCCTAAGATCTGAAAGAAGAACTTTTCCCCAGATGCTAAAGGAGCTTCAAACAGCGCTGCCAACACAGACTTCTACTATGAAAAACCATCCCCCTCTAGAATACAAGTTCCAAGAGGGCAAGAATCAAGGACCTTTACCTTTTTTTTTTTTTTTTTTTGAGACAGGGTCTTGTTCTGTTGCTCAGGCTAGAGTGCAGTTTTGTGACCATGGCTCACTGCAGCTTCAAACTCCCGGGCTCAAGCGATCTTCCCACCTCAGCCTCCTGAGCAGCTGACACCACAGGCACGTGCCACTATGCCCAACTAATTTTTTTCTTAAGTTGAGACAGTACCTCACTATTGTGCCCAGGCTGGTCTCAACTCCTGGGCTTAAGCAATCCTCCCACCTTGGCCTCCCAAAATGCTGGGATTACAGATGTGAGCCCTGTGCCTGACCTCTTTACCTAGTCTGTTAATTGATATATTCCAAGTACCTAGAATGGTGCCTGGCACATTCTTGATGTAGGTGTAAAATGACTAAATATAGTCTCAGACAACTGAAACAGTTATGTAGACAGTATATGTATTGGTTATCTATTGCTGAGTAACAAATTATCCCAAAACACAGTGGCTTAAAACTACATGTATTATCTCAGTTTGTCTAGGTCAGGAGATAGGGTATAGCTTAGCTGAGTGTTCTGTCTCAGGGTCTCTCACAAGCCTGCAAAGCGTCAGCCAGGGCTGCAGTCATCTGAAAGCTCAAGTGGGGAAGGATTTGCCTCCAAGCTCACCCATATGGTGAATGACTCAGTTCCTTGCTGGCTGGAGGCTGCCCTCGGTTCCTTACCACCACATGGGCCTCTTCATAGGTTAGCTCACAACACAGATGCTTGCTAGCTTGCTTCATCAGAGTAAACAAGAGGGAAGAACAAGACAGTGAGATAGTAAGAGAGAGAGAGAGAGAGAATGAGAGGAAGATCAAGAGAGGGAAACAAACAAGACAGACTTTACACTCTCGTAATTTAACCTTAAAAGTAGCACCCCATTACCCTTGCTGTGTTCTGCTTATTAGAAGCAAGTATCTAGGTCTAGCACACACTCAAGGGAGAGGATTATACACAGGCATGAATACCAGGAAGGAGGGATCATTGGAGGCCCCAGTGATCTTTGAGGCTGCCTACTGCAAGACATATACAGAATGTTTTCTCATATAGCATCCAATTTATTTAGGCAGCCAGAGCAGAAGGCACACACCAAATGCCTACAGGTCAAGCAGATGATGACAGGGAGGGAAGACATCAGTGGGGGGAGGTTTGGCAGACAACTGAGCCTCTGCCCACCCTCCATCAGGCTGATGCCAAGCAGGAATGCAGGTCAACTGTTGTCAGATCTTCCAAATTTTTTTCTTTTGAGACAGGGTCTTGCTGTCTCCCAGGCTGGAGTGCAGTGGTGCAATCTTGGTTCACTGTAACCTCCCCTGCCTCCCAGGTTCAAGTGATTCTCATGCCTCAGCCTCCCAAGTAGCTGGGATTATGGGCATACACCACCAGTTCAGCTCATTTTTGTATTTTTAGTAGAGATGGGGTTTTACCATATCGGCCGGGCTGGTCTCAAACTCCTGGCTTCAACTGATCTGCCCACCTCAGCCTCCCAAAGTGCTGGGATTAAAGGCGTGAGCCACCACCCCTGGCCGGCCTAATTGTTATTTCTTATACCCTTTTATGTGTGTTCCAGCCCTCTTACTGTCCACTCCACCCCCGTCCCACTTGCTCATAGGGATCTAACTAATTCACTTTGAGCACTTTCCACAGCTCTTTGCATGTAGCAGGCCAACAATATTGTTGAATGAAATATGAAACTCGACACATATCTCACAAGGGGCCATTTCCCCCTGTCCTAGAGCAGGGGTTAAAAGTGGTCTCAGGTGTCTAAGTTAGAATCCTGGCTGGATGACTTGCATGCTGCACGACCTTAGGCAAGTTACTAGCTTTTGAGAGCCTCAGCTTTCTCAGCTGGGAACAATCGTACCTGCCTTAGAGAGCTGTTAGATGGATTAGCTGAAATAATACACGTGAAGAATTTCGCAGAGTTTAGCGCACAACAGCAACTCAATAAATGATTTACTGTCACTCACATCATCCATTCCCTTTCTCTCCTCACTGGCTTCCTGCCTCATCACCCTTTAGTCCTTTATCGACCATCTTCTGCCACTGTCTACCTGGCTGGCAGCTCGAGTGAGCCACCACAACGCAAACTTGTCATTATCACTGAACGATTTAAACTCTTCAATAGTTTGCTGTTGCCCTTAGTAGGAGAAAATCCAAACTCCTTATCACAGCTCACCAAGCTGTCGTGGAGCTGTCTGCCCAGGCTCCAAGTCTCATCTTCACCTCTCTTCACACTCAGCACTCCAGCCACACTGAAGCTGAAGCTCTCCTTTCCTGAATGCTCCACCTCCACACTTACCGCCACTTCAACAAAGCCTTTGCAAGTGCCATTGCCTCCAGCTGGAACCTCTAATCCCGCCTCCTACCACCCCTTCTAGATGTTCCGTCTATGTGCTAACAGGGAATTCTTGATGTTTCTTGCTAAACCTGAGGGCATGCACAATATCGATTTTCCTCACCTGTCCTCTCGTCCAAGAACAAGGCCGGCAGAGAATAGGCAAATAATAAAATGTGCGGAATTGTCCACAGCAGCGCTGACCATGAGCAGACAGCGCCACCTGTTGACCAAAATCTGCACTTCAGTACCTGGAAAAGAGCTTTATTGCTTTCTATCCCTAAGACATGAGTAATGGCTTTGAAGTTTTCCAGTACATCCGGTATCTTCACTCCCACCAAACTTAGCAATGAAAAAAGCTAATGTTATTGCATACTTAGTGTATGCTAGGTACTCTCCTAAGTGCTTTGGTTATTAACACGTTTAATTTTTGCAACTACCTAATGAGGTAGGTAACCTTACTGCCATTTTATGATGGGGTAATCGAGGCACAGAGTAGTTAAAATGCCTCACCCAAGATCACACTGCTAGAAAATTTCAGTAGAAACTCAAAGTTAAGCAGTCTGGCTTGAACCTGCACTCACAAGCCCCAAACTCACTGCCTCTGTTCCATCTCCTTTACTCCAATGATCTAGTTACAACCCGGACACTTCTACCAGGAAGCTCCTCTTTGAAGGTACCGCTGTCACAGTGGCACTGGTGTCAACCACAGTCCCATCTGGACACAGAAAACGCAGCAGTTGGGTCTGACCTCCATGTTATTGCTCTGCTTGTGTGACCTCCAGCAAGCAACTTACTTCTTAAATCCTCAGCTTCCTCATCTGTAAAACAGGATGAGTCAGGGGGCTAACCCTATTTTACAGATGCAGAAGCTAAAGCACACAAAAGTGACAGGTGCAGGGCCACACAAAAAGCGGCAGACAACAGGCAAACCTAAGCTGTCTTACTTTTTTTTTGAGATGGAGTCTCGCTGTCACCCAGGCTGGAGTACAGTGGCACAATCCCGGCTCATGCAACCTCCACCTCCTGGGTTCAAGCGATTCTCCTGCCTCAGCCTCCTGAGTAGCTGGGATTACAAGCACCCGCCACTACACCCAGCTAATTTTTGTATTTTTAGTAGAGACGGGGTTTTGCCATGTTGGCCAGGCTGGTCTTGAACTCCTGACCTCAAGTGATCCACCCACTTCAGCCTCCCAAAGTGCTGGGATTACAGGTGTGAGCCACTGTGCCTGGCCTGTCCTACTCTTAAACACTACATTAGTCTCCCTCTGCTGGTAGGGGCTGTGTCTGTTTACTCTCAAATGCCACGCACACTGCTTTGCACATAGTAGGTGTCAACAAACTTGTTTTAATATATATATATACATACATACATACACACACAGTCACATTCCAGTGTGACAAATACTCCTTCACCAGGGGACAGCGCTACCACTCCAGGATCTTGAAGACTCGCTACAGAGAGCTTAGGCCTGGCAGTCCTCACAGATGACACCCAACAGGGAGCACTTTTATTAAAGTGGGAAGGGGTGGGGTGTACCCCAGGGTGTATGCTGACACGGACCTCATGCGGGCCCAGAGCTCTGCTGCACCCTCTTCATCAGCTCTTCATCCTGCATAGACAACTCTGTCAACTTTTTGCCCATTCGCTCATGGATGTCCAAGTACTTAGAGACACATCGGTCCAGGCACACAGACTCGCCCTTGGAGAGCTCTGCTTCCTTGTAGTGAGGAGGCACACACTTCCGGTGGCAGGCACTGGTCATTCTGGAGGGAGGGAGGGGCAAGGTCATGTCAGCAGCATCCTGTGACATCCCAGGAACCCTCGACCATTCCAGCCCTGCTATATTGATGTCACCTTCCCCAAGAAAGCAGTGTAAATCCTCAGTTTACACCTCAACCACTGGAAGGTCCTTGCAAGTAGGAAATTTGCCTGAGCCCATGTATATGACTAATTAAGTAGAAACAATTTGTTAAGGACTGGCTATGTGCCAGGCATCATGCTAAGTGCTTTACCTGCATTCTGTTACGCAATGCTTACAATTACCCCAAGAGATACTTATCCCCATTTTACAGACGAGAAAATTAAGGCAAACAGAGGCTCAGTAATTTTCTAAGAATCACATAGAGCTGAGATATGAACCCAGGTCATCTGACCTCACAGTCTACACTTAACAATCTTTCTAATTTATAGTCGTCAGGATAAACCAACCAATCAAGAGAGCTTAAGCCAATAAAAATAGCAGACATTTCACTGTTACTAAGTGTTGGGCTTGAGGCTAAGGACTTTCATATATTATTAGATTTAATATTTATGATGCCCTATGAGGTAGGTATCATTATGTCTTTTTCATAATGAGGAAACCAATTGTCAAACAGTGCAAGTAACATGTCCAAGTATACTGCTGGTGATTGGTGGAGCCAGGATTTGTTCCCAAATGTGCCAAATGGTTATGAGCACTAGTTGCAGAACCAGACTGAGGTGCTAGTTCTGGCATTGTTACCCACCAGCTGCGGACCCTAAGGAGGTTACTTAACCTCTAGCAGCATCAATTTCCTCATTTTAAGATGGGACTAATAAAATTAACCCACTGGATTATTTTGAGGATTAACAAGAGCCTGACACAGAATAAAGGGTTTTAAAATGTTAACTACTAAATGGGCTGGCTATGTGCTATTTATCAAGAGGCAAATACTCAGCTTTTCTTGGAACCTAACCAGAGCCTGGATTGGAGTTTCTCTTCCTGCTTGGCTCCTGCATTGCCAGTTCCATCCCCATCTAAATGCCCAACTCATTCTAGTGACTGCATCTACATTAGGATCAACCTTGGAGGTGCGTATGGGGAGGGTAAGCATGGGCCTCAGGCTCCCCTACATTCAGGAAGGAATTTGTTGTAAGTCATTCACCTTCGATATGGGTGACCAAGACTTATTTTCCAAGACAGGGTAGAACATAGTTCTCTTTACCTGTTGTACATATCGGCCATCATCTCCACCTCCAGCTCCGCAGCCAGCTGTTGGGCCCTGAGAGGATCCATCTCAGCCTAGCACCGTGGAAGGTATCTCCTTCTGGCCTCCTAATCCTGGGAGCAGACATCACCATCAGCACCCACCGCCGCCGTTCACTCTCCTACCCCTTGGGGCTAGAGGATACCGAGGACTCACAGGGCGCCAGACCACCACGGGCCACTAACCTCAGTGAGCTTAACCACCCCATTTTACGGATGTGGAAACTGAGGCCTCGCCCAAGGTCGCACAGGACGTCCATGGCGAGCCTGGAAATCGAGCCCCGGATCTCTGATGCCCCAGTCCCTGGAGGTCACCTCTATTCAGAAGATCGAGGACCGAGGCAGAACGCTCTAACCCATAAGCCTGAACCTCCAGGGCCCTGGGAATGAGATCGTACGCTGAACACAGGCGACCGGGACGCAGCCTAAAGGCTGCGCCTCTGAAATGGCGACGCCATAATCAGAGCCACATTGAATTCAGAGGTCATGGGTCACTCACCACTGCCTGGGACGGATCGCAATGCTCACGGAGACCCCAACTTCTGACAAAAACTATAACGTTACCCGCCTCTCCAGAAGGCTCCAGCGGAAGCACGTGGGTTACTTCCGGGAGGGAAGTCCCGCCTCTCCTTTGATTCAAACTCGCTTCCGGAACTAAATACCAACGAGACGGCGCCGGGAACTCGGCGATCCTAGAGAGGGAGCGGCCGGCGCCGGGCGAAGAGGAAGGCGACTTGCCAGTGCTAGAGGGGACGCCAAAGTACCATAGAGGCTTGGGCGGGGTGCAGAGCGTCTGCAGCCCGCTTACAATTCAAGTCCCTTGGGATGTCACAGAGCCGCTTCAGTTTATTGGTTCTGTAGGAAGAGGCGTGGCGACAGATATCAGTGAACCTCATCCCAGTTCCGGACAGCCGACTCCTGAGCGTAAATCAGGCATGGAGAAGGAAGAACGCCCCCAAACAGCGATTCTGTTTTTGTTTCGCGTTAAAATCCTTGGAACGTTTTTAAACGTCCCAGTGCCCAGCACTCACCTCATTTCAATTAAATCAGAATCTCTGGGAGTAGGACCCAGGCATCAATACAATTTAAAATTCCCCAGGTGATTCGTATTACAGCCAAATTTGAGAAGCAGTGCTCCATGGGACGTTGTGCGATTACTACTGTGTGTAGGTCACACTAAGCCCCTTCTGGTGTTGCAACGATAAGCGAGATAGGCTTCCTGCTCGTAGAAAGACAAGACGTGTAAAATATGTTTTCTTCAACAGTCAGAGGTCCTGAGCCACAAAGAGATTAATAAAAGCAATTTCGGCTGCCACCGGGGCTAATCTTGGGTGAGGGAGGAGGGTACTGGTGAACTTTTCAACTTTCAAGACTTAATGTGTTCTTCAAACTGCACCATTCACTCATTCCCCACTAAAAAGAAGGAAACAACACTCAGTCCCTTGATTTGTCACACAATTTCCTAGTAAAATAAATTTACAAGATGTAAATTGATGACGCAAGGGCACATTGCCCATTGGAAAAGGTGGGCTAGACATTTTATATGTGTGGTCCTCCTATGCTTCCCTAATTGTCCAAGACCATCCTGATTTTAAACAATCGACCTTTCTGCTTTGAAGACTCATCTTTGTCAAACCTTGTGCCCTGATTTTTAAAGATTGAGGTATAATATTCATAAAGTGCATAAAATACACGAATCTCAAGCTTAATTAAATATATATGTGTATATATACATTTGTATAACCACCACCCAGATCAAGATATAAAATACTTCCTGCACCCCAAAAAGTTATCTTGTGTTTCTTCCCCATCAATACTCCCTCTTAAAGTTAACCACTATTCTGACCTCTATCACCATCAATTCGTTTTCCTTGTTCTTGAACTTCATGTAAATGGAATTACACATTATTTTCTATTTTGTGCCTGACGTCTTTAGCTCAACGTACCTGTAAGATTTCCTCCATATTGTTGTGTGCATCTGTTATTCCTTCTGTTTTTTGCTGTCTAGTGTTTGATTGTATGAGCATGCCACAATTCATTTATCCATTCTCCTGTTGATGGATGTTTGGATTCTTTCTAATTTTTGCCTATTATGCAATAATGCTGCTATGATACTCTTGTACAGATGGACATATCTTGCCTTGGTTTTTGCTTTTGAAAATATAGTCAACATTGGCCAGGTGTGGTGGCTCACGCCTGTAATCCCAGCACTTTGGAAGGCTGAGGCGGGTGGATGACCTGAGGTCAGGAGTTCAAGACCAGCCTGGCCAACATGGTGAAACCCCATCTCTACTAAAAATACAAAAAAAAAAAAAAGTAGCCCAGTGTGGTGGCGGGTGTTTGTAATCCCAGCTACTCAGGAGGCTAAGCAGGAGGCTAAGGCAGGAGAATCGCTTGAACCCGGGAGGCAGAGTTTACAGTGAGCCAAGATCACACCATTGCAATCCAGCCTGGGCAACAAGAGTGAAACTCTGATCCCCCTGCAAAAAAGAAAAAATATAGGCAACATTATGGAAAGTTAAGAAACTGCGTGGGAAAAGGAGATGGGTTCTTACAAGAGGAATCTTGCAATATTTACTGGGCCTTACGAAAGTTTACATACTGTATGATTTCATTTAAGTAACATTCTCAAAATCACAAAATTATAGAGATGGAGAAGAGATTTCTGATTGCCTAGTGTTAGGGTTGATGGGGAGATAGAAGTATACCTATAAAGGGTAGCACAAGAGAGATCTTTGTGTTGCTGGATAATTCTGTATCCTGATTGTGGTGGTGGTTATAAGAATCTACACAGGTGATAAGATGTCATAGAACTGGCTGGGCACGGTGGCTCATGCCTGTAATCTCAGCACTTTGGGAGGCCGAGGCGGGCGAATCACGAGGGTAGGAGTTCGAGACCAGCCTGGCCAATATGGTGAAACGCTATCTCTACTAAAAATACAAAAAATTAGCTGGGTGTAGTGGCAGGCACCTGTAACCCCAGTGACTTGGGAGGCTGAGGCAGGAGAATCGCTTGAACCTGGGAGGTGGAAGTTGCCGTGAGCTGAGATTGTGCCACTGCACTCCAACCCAGGTGACAAAGTGAGACTCTGTCTCAAAAAAAAAAAAAAAAAATGTCATAGAACTATGACACACACACATTAGACCAATGTTAATTACCTGGCTTTGATATTGAATATAGTTATGTGAGATTTAACCTTTGGTGGAAGTTGCTAAAGGGTGTACAGGACCTCTCTGTACTATTAATGCAATTTCCTGTGAACCTATAATTATTTCTAAATAAAAAGTTTTAAAAATCACTACAAAAAAGAAAACAAATCACTGTCCGCACTATTACTGTTTCCCATCACTTCTTCTCACCTCCATGGCTGACATTGGGGTCCAAGCCACCAGCATCCTGCACCAGGGTCACTGAGTTTGTCTCCTGACTGCTCTCCCCACTTCTATCCATGCTGCTTCACTTTATTCTCAAAACAGCACCCGTCCAGAGTGTATCTGCCCAAGACTGGTGAGTTCTTCCACATCTCTCTCTGGCTTACTGGTTTTTCGTTTAAATTCATTTCTCTTGTCCTACTGTCATTAAATATTGAAAAGAGCAAAATACACTGGGTATGGTGGCTCATGCCTATAATCCCAGTCAGGTTTCAAGTATTACTAGAGCCAGCCGGCAATCATTAATATTGGACTATTTAATCACTGGTACCCAAACGCAGATGCACAAAAAGATCTCTCTTTCAGATCATCCCGGGCAAGACCTCCAAGTTCCTGTCATATTTCTGTTAATTAATTAGTTATTTCATTCAATATGTATATATCAAGTACCTACTATGAGCCAGGCAATTCTGCTAGGCTCTGGGCATACAGCCATGAGCATGGTAGATAAAATCCCTGCCCTCATGGAGTTTAAAGCCTAGTGAGAGAGACAGATGATAAGGAAATGAATAAGGTAATTTTAGATTTAGTATTATGAGGACAATAAAAACAGTATTATGCAGACAATAAAAACAGCTGAAATGATGGAGAGGAATTGAAGGTCATGGAAAACCTCTCCGAGGGAATGAAATTTCAGTTGAGTCCAGAAGAGTGAGAGGGAGTCTGTCTTACAAAGAGTAGAAGGAAAACCAGTCCTGAGTCGGAAAAGGGATGGATTTATTTAAGGAATAGGAAGGAGGCCACTGTGGCCCAGTGGTGGGGCTTCGGGGAGGAGGACTGGGGGGTCCCAAGCTTCATAGTAGTAAGAGTGTCCCCTGCACCCATTCTCCAAAAGCAGTGCCTTTCTTAGATCATAAAACGCACAGAGAAAGTGAAGACTTTTTTTGAGATGGAGTCTCTGTCACCCAGGCTGGGGTGCAGTGTGACTTGCTGCAACCTCTGCCTCCCAGGTTCAAGTGATTCTTGTGCCTCAGCCTCTCAAATAGCTGAGATTACAGGCATGCGCCACCACGCCCGGCTAATTTTTGTATTTTTAGTAGAGACAGGGTTTCACCCTGTTGGCCATGCTGTTCTTGAACTCCTGGCTTCAAGTGATCCACTTGGCCTCGGCCGCCCAAAGTGCTGGAATTACCGGCATGAGCCACCGAGCCCAGGCTTGTTTTGTTTTTTTCTTAGCAAAATGTGCTAAAATACTCAATTTTTTCTTAGTATAAAAATGTGTTCAGAGCCTAATGTGTACCTGTCACTTCAACTCAAAATAGAACTCAGGAGTTTTGTATTTTCCAGGCTCCATCCAGTGATCTGTCAGCTTGTCCCAACACTTTTGCCCTCTCTGCCCCTCCCCCTCCAAATCTCTCAGTCAGCTGTGAGCCCCGAGACACATCCCCTGTGTTGGCAGCTGCCCCACTCATCCCCTCCTTAGCCCAGCCTTAAGCAGCTGCTTTTGTCTGAGGACGACGGAAAGGGCCTATGTAAGGAACGTGGCAGGGGCGGGTGTGAAGGGAGCACAGGAGGCCTTGCATGGGCTCTGGCTGAGCAGCAGAGGCCAGGGCCATGCTCCAAATGGGTCCTGAAGATGGTTGTCAAGGTCCCTGTGGTTAGGAGAGTCCATTGGGAAGAAAGGTGACCACAGGACGGATGCTGCCAGGCTCAGGGCGGGAGGGACGTGCCGTGATTGAAAGGTGCCACCTGTCAGATCTTCCACAGGAAATCCGAGCCTCCCAGTCTAAGGGAAAGTGTTGTACCAACAGGCTAGTAAACAATGCTCTTCAGGCAGCCCAAGCCTCTTGAAGTGGGGGTGGGGTGGGGTGGAAGAGGGAGAGGAAGGGGGGAGGCGGGACCAAAGAGCTGGGGGCTAGAGGCCACTGGGGCTTAAAGGCAGCCTGGGAGTGAGGCCGCTCAGCTGGAGGAAAGACAGCTCCTGAGCCACAGGCAGAAGCCCCACAGGTAGGAGAAGCCCTGGGCCTCTTCCTAAGGGCCCCTCCCCATCTGCCAATTCTCACTCCCACCTTCCAAGGGCCAGAGCCTCCCAGGAGGGCCCCCCAGCTAGAGAAATCCAGGCTCCTTTCTAATTCTCTCCACCACGATATCTACTCGCTTTAGATGCCAGGGGTCTCAGCCCTGCACCAGAGCACCTACAGAGC